GGGGGGGGGGGGGGGGACATAAAACCACAAAAAAAAGGGAAAAAAATAAATATTCCCCGTTTTCGAGAGAGGGGATTAAAAAAAATAACCCACGAGGCCGGTTCTTCCCTCCGTGGTTGGAACCGGAGGAGAAAAAGCCACCTCTTTGCACCCTCCTCGGCCCCAAATAAAGTGCCAGAGCCACAAAAAAATGGTTCCGAAGAGATTTTTGGGGGGATTTGAGGAGATTTTCGACCTTCCCTTCTCACAAAAAACGAAAGGGGAAGGAGAAGATGGAAGAGGGTTCGACTCCGGGTCCCAAAAACTGGGAGGGGGTTGAAGATGTTCTGAGGAAATCTCAACTGGGATAGGAAAAGTGAGGCATTTTTTAGGAAAAAAGATGGGATTTCAAGAAAGGAGAGAGTTTGCTCCTCAACATCTGGATCTCCTCACCCCCAAGGAGCTTCCCAAAGGAGCCAAGATGCTCCTCAAAACCAAGACGCAACCTCAAAAGTCAACTTCATGGAAAACGGGGAGAGAGGAGCAAGAACCCAAGTGAAATCCTTCCCAGTATTTTTTTGGAAAAAAAAGAAGGAATTTCAAACCAAGAGTGTTTGCTCCTCAACGTATGGATCCGTCTCCTCCCAAAGGAGCTTCCAAAGGGAGCCAAGATGCTCCTCAAAACTCAACGTGGGTGGGGAATGTTGACTTGAGGGGGGAAAAAGGGAGAGAGGAGCAAAAACCTAAACCTTCCAAGGTGGATCCTTCCCTGTATTTTTTGGAAAAATTAGGGAATTTTGAGCCAAGAGCTTTTTCTCTTCAACATATGGCTTTCCCAGTCCAAGGAGCTTCCAAAGGGAGCCAAGATGTTCCTCAAAACGTGGGTGGAGAACATTGACTTGGGGGGGAAAAAGGAGAGAGGAGCAAAAGCCCAAACCTTCGGAGGAGGATCCTTCCCAATATTTTTTTGGAAAAATGATGGAATTTTGAGCCAAGAGTGTTGGCTCCTCAACGTATGGATCTCCTCACCCCAAGGAGCTTCCCAAAGATGCTCCTCAAAACCAAGATGCAACCTCAAAACTCAACGTCGTGGAGAACGTGCTGTAAAATTTAGGCATAAACTTGGGGAAAAAAAGGGAGGGAGGAGCAAGAACCCAAATGAAAACCACCTTTGGAGGAGGATCCTTCCCAATATTTTGGGGAAAATGATGGAATTTTGAGCCAAGAGTGTTTGTTCCTCAACGTATGGATCTCCTCACCCCCAAGGAGCTTCCCAAAGGAGCCAAGATGCTCCTCAAAACCCAACATGGGAGGAGAACATTGACTTGGGGGGGGAAAGGAGAGAGGAGCAAAAGCCCAAACCTTTGGAGGAGGATCCTTCCCAATATTTTTTGGAAAAATGATGGAATTTTGAGTCAAGAGTGTTTGTTCCTCAACGTATGGATCTCCTCACCCCCAAGGAGCTTCCCAAAGGAGCCAAGATGCTCCTCAAAACTCAACGTGGGTGGGGAACGTTGACTTGAGGGGGGAAAAGGATTGAGGAGCAAAAGCCCAAACCTTCCAAAGAGCATCCTTCCCCGTAATTTTGGAAAAATGATGGAATTTTGAGCCAAGAGTGTTTGTTCCTCAACGTATGGATCTCCTCACCCCCAAGGAGCTTCCCAAAGATGCTCCTCAAAACCAAGATACAACCTCAAAACTCAACATCGTGGAGAACGCGCTGTAAAATTTAGGCATAAACTTGGGGAAAAAAGAGACACAGGAGCAAGAACCCAATTGAAAACCACCTTTGGAGGAGGATCCTTTCTGGTATTTTTGGAAAAATGATGGAATTTTGAGCCAAGAGTGTTGGCTCCTCAACGTATGGATCTCCTCACCCCCAAGGAGATTCCCAAAGGAGCCAAGATGCTCCTCAAAACTCAACATGGGAGGAGAACATTGACTTGGGGGGGGAAAAGGATTGAGGAGCAAAAGCCCAAACTTTCCTAGGAGCATCCTTCCCAATATTTTGGGGAAAATGATGGAATTTTGAGCCAAGAGTGTTTGTTCCTCAACGTATGGATCTCCTCACCCCCAAGGAGCTTCCCAAAGGAGCCGAGATGCTCCTCAAAACCCAACACGAGAGGAGAACATTGACTTGGGGGGGGAAAGGAGAGAGGAGCAAAAGCCCAAACCTTTGGAGGAGGATCCTTCCCAATATTTTTTTGGAAAAATGATGGAATTTTGAGCCAAGAGTGTTGGCTCCTCAACGTCTGGATCTCCTCACCCCCAAGGAGCTTCCCAAAGGAGCCAAGATGTTCCTCAAAACCCAACATGGGAGGAGAACATTGACTTGGGGGGGAAAAAGGAGAGAGGAGCAAAAGCCCAAACCTTTGGAGGAGGATCCTTCCCAATATTTTTTTGGAAAAATGATGGAATTTTGAGCCAAGAGTGTTGGCTCCTCAACGTATGGATCTCCTCACCCCCAAGGAGCTTCCCAAAAATGCTCCTCAAAACCAAGATGCAACCTCAAAACTCAACGTCGTGGAGAACGCGCTGTAAAATTTAGGCATAAACTTGGGGAAAAAAAGGGAGGGAGGAGCAAGAACCCAAATGAAAACCACCTTTGGAGGAGGATCCTTCCCAATATTTTGGGGAAAATGATGGAATTTTGAGCCAAGAGTGTTTGTTCCTCAACGTATGGATCTCCTCACCCCCAAGGAGCTTCCCAAAGGAGCCAAGATGCTCCTCAAAACTCAACATGGGTGGGGAACGTTGACTTGGGGGGGGGAAAGGATTGAGGAGCAAAAGCCCAAACCTTCCAAAGAGCATCCTTCCCAGTAATTTTGGAAAAATGATGGAATTTTGAGCCAAGAGTGTTTGCTCCTCAACGTATGGATCTCCTCACCCCCAAGGAGCTTCCCAAAGATGCTCCTCAAAACCAAGATGCAACCTCAAAACTCAATGTCGTGGAGAACGCGCTGTAAAATTTAGGCATAAACTTGGGGAAAAAAAGAGACAGAGGAGCAAGAACCCAAACGAAAACCACTTTCTTGGGCGGATCCTTCCCAATTCCAACCCCAAACCAGTTCCCGATGGGCGGCGAGATCCCAAAGAGGAGCCACCACCGGGGGGGGAGGTTCCTTGTGAGCGAAGCCAAGAAGACGACGAGTGCAGCGGTTGGATCCCGAAAGGAGATCCAAAAGGGGGGGGGGGGGAAAAAAACCCCAAAAAAGGGGGAAAGGGTCTCTCTCAGGTGCAAATTTTGATGCGGGTGCCCTTGGCTAAAACGCGGAAAAAAGGGAAGATGCGCTCGTGGAAGGAAGCGTTGAAGGTGTGGATGTGGCTCATGCTCTCGGCGTTGTAGAAGCCCAACTGGCCCCTCTCGTAGTCCAAGTAGACCCCGAAACGCCGGGGCCTCTCGTTTGGGGCCAAAGAAGTTTGCTCGGTGGCCGTCAAAGCTTGATATTTCTTCCCGTTGGTGCCAACGCACCAAATTTCCCTTTTTTGGTGAGGGCCGGTGGTTTTTTCTTTCCTTCGAGCCGTTTCGCGAGCGGCTCCAACCGCCCAACCCCGACGGCCCCCGACTTCCACCTCCCAATAATGACGCCCCGAAGTGAAGCCTTGAACCCCCAAAACGCAATAATCGGCGTCGAAACGTTTGGGGTTTTCGGGTAAATCCTGACGCCGTTCGCCCAGTTTGACGCTGCGACGGTCCAGGGAGAGGCTGAGGCGGGGGTGGGCCGTGTCGGGGTCCAGGGTGACGTCAGCTGGGGGTTTTGGGGGGGTGGGAGGACAAAAGGGG